TGACTAACCAAGTGAATCTGGCTCCAGTGTTCCGCCACCGCACTGACTGATATAAGTTATTAAATAATCATCAGATCTCTGAAATGGCTCATTTAAAAATTTCGTTTCAAGACTTGCCACTGTTAACTCGTACTCGAATTATTGTCACGGCCCCAATGAATCGGGGATACGTCTTATATCGAAAGTAAAGCTCCCATCATATTTATCCGGAAATATTTCAAATGGCAGCAAATGCAAGCAGCAACTACCCGCTGGGAAAGCTCTGTGTCCCCCTCCCTCTCTTTCGAGAGTTGCTTACAAGCAAGCTGATGGCGTGGTTGACTCCTCAGCAATATGTGGCGCCGAATCATGATTCCCTGGCATATCCGATATCGAATTACCATTGAAAGGAATAAACCGAGATCACAGAGAGATTGGTTTTCCCATCGATAGAGTCGAGCCCTTATCTTACTGGCACGATAACAGCGCTACTTCCCATTTCATCATGCCTAACGGCATTATGAAAAAGCATCTCGAAAAAATGCTTGAGAAAAATAGCAAGGAATTTCGTCCAGCTTATGTTCGTAATTTAAATTTCACTTTAAAAAAACCAGTAGATTCCTAAACAATGTGTGGGAATGGATGGAAAGACGACGAAATCAAGAAGTAAAAGAGATAGTAGACAACATACGTTGTAAAAAAATGTTCAGGAGATGTAATGAGGACCTGTAGGAAGGCTAAATGTAAACTTGGCTGTCTGTGTTTCGTGTAAACTTGGAACATTAGCAGATCGGTAAATGAAGACGATAAATTTCCAGTACTTTTTTAAAATTATTTACAACAATTATAACTGATCTGTACTAGAGACAGCACGTTTTTCAACCCAAAATGCGTCATTTTTGATGAATTCTTGCAAATAGATCTCAGTAAAATCGAAAATTTTATAAGGACACAATCGTGATTATCTTTAGAATATACTGCTACTTACCCTTCCACGAATATGTCCTGGAACATTTGCACTGGATGTCGTAATATCGGCACTGGATTTTGGGGCGGCAGCAATCCAGACGGATGCACCGGTACAGGCTTCTTCGGCCAGTGAATTATCAACAACTTTAGCGCTTCCAAGTCTATTTACACTCACAAACAGAGGTAGCCTGGAACAAGATATATATATGTATACATGTATATATATATGTACATATATGTGTATATATATGTATATATATGTATATATATGTACATATATATATCACAATTTTTATTTTTTCAGGTCTCATGAGCTGCATAAGCATGCAAGCAAAAATGTGTGTTGACTAACATAATATTTAAAATATTCGGATTAAATATAATTTGCAGTCAAATGTTTCAAAATGCGCGGCTAGCAACTTTTCTAGTCCCTGTAACCAGTGCCGGTTGCCGAGCGGTCAGTCTGTTGGCGATCCTAACGTTATTTTCTTCTTCTAAAGGAATTTCTTGAAAAAAAAAGGTCAAAGGCTTTATTCCAAAACTATAAGTTTCCATATTTCTCAGTGTTAAAGCTCAGTTGGCTAAAATCACAAAACAAAAATGCTACAAGTTGGACTTTCCAGAAAAAGTGTGGCATTGAAGCAGCAATTGCATGAAATTTAAATAAACGCTGGTACTTTTAGTGAAAAATGTACAAAAAATGAGGCAATTCGATTCAAATTTTTTGTCGATGGCTCACAAATAATGGAAAAATGCCTAGAGTAGCGATGTGAAAATCATATGCTAGTGATGTTACTGGGATGCTTTTACAAGTTGGGAGCAGCTATTCTTTGATTCTGCAGTGCTAAGGCGATATCGATGAGGAAAACTACTCACAAGCAGTAGATTCTAAAGAGGTGGCACATACAGTTACGAAAGATGAAAATCGCTGGCTGTGAAATCGCAATTTCTACGGAAGATGAAAATCGCTGGCTGCAAAATCGCAATTTCTACGGAAGATGAAAATCGTTGGCTGCAAAATCGTAATTTCAACTCACTATATCGGTGTAAACATAAAAGCTATTGAAATCCATACTACAAACTTAAAAAAAGCTATATAACACAACTTACGCAAAATTATCTTAAGAAAAATAACTTACGCAAAATTATCTTAAGAAAAATAACTTACGCAAAATTATCTTAAGAAAAATTACAAAAATCGTGTCACGTTACCTTGACGTGTCCAATTTCCATACGGTATTATCGTCCGGCAAGTCAACCGTATATTTTCCTTCGTCTGCTGGTCGCACTATTACTTCACTGATTTCTGTGTTATGCAATGCCGCTTTCACCTGAAAACACCTTTACAGCAGTCCGTAAAAGTAGTAAAAACCGTTTAGAAGACGTGAAATATCTGTGGCATGGTGTTAAAAAAGCATTAGGAGGAATAATAATACGGTGGGTTGATTTACTAACTTCACTTTATATAGTAGTGCGAAATGCAAAAAAAAAACGCAAGGTACAGGTTAATGAAAAAATTGCTCGTTGCAAAAATTACGATTCGGAGCGTAAAATTGACCGATGTCTGAGATACCCAGGTATTAGCCGTGTGAGGTTCGTCTGAACAAATAATAAAAAAAAATAATTGGCCAACACACGGACTGCTGGTGCGAAGATACTTTTATCCGTACAGTTCCCGCAGATTTTTGTTGCTAACGACACCGGTTTTTCCGGCAAGTGCTTCTAGCTAAAAGAATTAAGACTGGCCGCCAGGACTGTCAGGAAACACTCCTTTTCCCCTTAAAATTTTAGCTTTCTAGCTTTCCTGGTTCCCGAGTTAGCAACCTGTCTGAAAAAACTTTCATGGGCTTGTACGTGGGAACCACGCGTATTCGAGAACTGGGTTTGAACTCATTAAGACCTATGTGAGTGGGGAAAACTCCCTTAAAATTTCAGGTTCCTAGTTTCTCTGGTTCTCGAGCTAACAGTTTGCCCATCAAAAACTTTGGTGGGCTTGTACGTGAATACCACTTGGGTAAGAGCGCCCATTTTGGGAATGGAGGCCCGCACGTGCATGTAGATTGAAGTCCCAAAGTTGCAGCCCCGTAGCATTTGTAGGTCTCGAGATGAAAAATCGGTACAGATGCACAGCGCACACACAGGCACAGACACACACACAAACACATACAGACATAAACACGCAGACAACCCCTCGACAATATGCGTTTTTGCATTGCATAGATGCAAAAAATTCATAAAAACAATGAAAGATACAGTGGAACAGGTAGCACTAAAATCACTACTCCGCTGCCTATCGAATGATGGAGTTTTGATCACAGGAAAACAATCAAATTAGCGTGATGGTTTCAGAAAATACGCCGAAACGATGGCTAAGTAGGGAACAAGGGGCAGTTATTTTGATGCTAAAAAAAAAAAAAAAATAAAAAAAAACCCCAAGAGCGGCAGCATCGATGACATTTCCACCACACTGCAGGAGCACCACATCGACAAACACCTTCCATGCATGCATCGGTGATATGATCAGCCTGGAAAACCAATAAATATTCAGTGGCACGGATCAAACACTGGCAACGAAATCCAAGGCGAGCAGGAATTTACTTACTTTTTCAAATCCGGAAGCACCAATTCACTGTCATAGGCTGCATCCAGTGCTGCACTCACTTGTTCAGCAAATTCATCACCACCTCGTCCTGGAAAATTCGGCCAATCTCCATCCATAATCAAAGTAAGCCAAGAGTTTTGCAAAATATTATCGCGACCCTAACTGTTACCTTGTTAGAC